AATATATATTTATAATTCAAAAAAACAGAAGCACGGCAATAAAAGAAAAATAGATAAATTGGATTTTATCGGAATTAAAAACTTTTGCACATCAAAGGACACTATGAAGAAAGTGAAAAGACAACCTACAGAATGGAAGAAAATATTTATAGATCATATATCTGACAAGGGCCTATTATCCAGAATATGTAAAGAACTCCTAAATTTAACCACAAAAAGAAAAACAGCCCCATTAAAGAGACTATCCCCATTAAAGAGACTATTTGAATATAATTATTTCTCCAAAGATACACAAATGACCAATAAGAACATGAAAAGGTGCTTAGTGTCAGTCATCAGGGAATGCAAATCAAAATGACAACAAGATGCTACTTTATACCTACTAGGATGGCTATAATTTTTTTTTAAAGATGGAATAACAAGTGTTAGCAAAGATATCGTGAAACTGGAACCCTTATGCATTGCTGGTGGGAATGTAAAGTGGCGCAACTGCTGTGGAAAACAGTTTGGCGATTCCTCAAAAAGCTAGACATAGAATTACCATATGACCCAGCAATTCCACTCCTGGGTTTACACTCGAAAGAACTGAAAATTGGACTGAAACAGATTCTTATATCCAGTGTTCAATGCAGCATTATTCACGGTAGCTATAAGGTGAAAAAACCCAAATGTCTGCCAACAGATGAATGGACCAAACAAATGTGGTATCAATATTTAAATACAGTAGAATATACTATTCAGCTATAAAAAGGAATGAAGTTCTAATATGCTGCAACATGGATGAACCCTGAAAACATGCCAGACACAAAAGGACCAACACTGTATCATTACACGTACATGAAAGATTGAGAATGGGGAAATTCAGAGGCAGAAGGCAGATCAGAGGTCACCAGGGGCTGGGTGGAGAGGGGAATGGGGAATTATTGCTTAATGGGTATAGAATCTCGATTTGAGGTGATAAAAAAGTTTTGGAAATAGATGTTGGTGATATACAACATTGTGAATATAGGTAATGCCACTGAATTACACACTTAAAAGTGGTTAACACGGCAGGTTTTATATGTATTTCACAGTAACAAAATGAAAAAAAATTAAAGAATTACCACACGACCCAGCAATTCCATTCCCACGTATATACCCAAAAGACTTGAACGCAGGTAGTCAAACAAAATCTCGTACATGAGTATTCATAGCGGTATTATTCATAATAGTTTTACCTGCTATTATGAGTTTTATCCTGCTATTAGAGAGTTTTTATCCCGATGGTTAAATAATTATTTCTTCATCTTTGACGTTACTACTGTATATTACCAACACACCAGTATATTACCATGACTGTTGCTATTTTTATATAATTTGCTTTTGCTAACTCTAAAATTAAGTTTTATTTTTTGGCCATGCCACATGGCTTGGGGGATTCTTATTCCCCAATCAGGGACTGAACCTGAGGCACAGCAGTGAAAGTGCTGAGTTCTAATCACTGGACTGCCAGGAAATTCTGAAGTTCTATTTTAAATTAAATCTTAAAATTAAAAAACAAGATTAACTACTAGGCTAACAATAAAATTAGTGATCTTATAGTCCATCCCTTCCTACTCCTGGGTTAGGTGCTCACTTTCAATATGAATAAACAACCAAAGATTACTGGACATTCCAAGAAAGATTCCAACTGAAGAAGATACATAGAAGGATCTAAAGGAAATAGAGACAACACAGAGACACATGAAAACTTAAGTAAATATATATGTAGGTCTTAGAAAGACAGAAGATACTCTATCCATGTAACAAGGAAAAAATGTTATGAAAAAGGAACAGAGTAAGAAAGTACTGTTATACAGATGGACAGAGTGAAGTCAAGAAAACCTCCAGATCTCAACAGATTCTCCAATAAAAGATACACAAGTAGCACATGCAAAAATACTATATACTTTATTAGCCACCATGGAAACACAAAGCCACAACAAGGTACTACTTTACCACTGTGATGGCTATAATCAAAAAGAGCAGTAATTACAAGAGTTCGTGAGGATGTGGAGAAATTAGAACCCTCGTGTGCTGCTAGTGGGAATGTTATAAATGGAGCAGTCACTATGGAAGTTCAGCAGGTTCCTCCACAAAATAACCATATGACCCAGCAATTCCACTTCTGGTTATATACACAAACTTGTACACAAATGTGCATAGCAGCATTATTCATACTAGCCTCAAAGTGGAAACAATTCAAATGTCCATCAACAGCCAAATGTTTAAATAAAATGCAGTATACCCATAAAATGGAATATTATTCTATGATAAGGAATGAAAACCTGATACATGCTACAACATGAATGAACCTGCAAACCGTGGCAAAAAAAGGGCAAAAGTGAGACACAAAAGACCTGTCATACGATCATACTGTATGACTCAATTTGCATAAATGTCCAGAATAGGCAAATTTGCAGAGACAGAATTAGTGGTTGCTAAGAGACAGTGGGGCGGAGGCGATGAGAAGTGACTGCTTATAGTCATGGGGTTTCTTTTTGGAGTGATGAAGATGATCTGAATTCAGATAGTAGTGATGGTTGCACAGCATTATGAGTATACTAACTCTACTAACAGTAACACTGTAAAGTGGTAAATTTTATGGCTTGTGAATTGTATCTCAATAAAGTTGTTACAGCAGGGAAAAAAAAGAAAAAGCCTTCTAGAAAGACAGACAATAAGAAGATAACAGACAAAAAAAGATCTGAGACAGGGTCAACTCAGCAAACCCAACATCTGAGTGACAGCAGTTTCAGAGAGAGAAAACAGAACAAGTAGAAGTGAGGGAATTATTTTTTAAAAATTAATGCAAGACTATTTGTCAGAAACAAAGGTCTGAGTCTCCACATACAAGTGGCCTATTAACTACTGGCACAAAGACCTAGTCCACGACACATCATCTAGAACCTTCACAAAAGAGGTAAAGTGAAGACTCTAACAGCTTCCAAGGACTGAGAACTGGACCAGCCTCAAACTTTTAGGCACAAGTGAAAGTGAAAGTCTTAGTTACTCAGTCGTGTCCAGCTGTTTCGTGACCCCACGGACTGTAGCCCGCCAGGCTCCTCTGTCCATGGAATTCTCCAGACAAGAAAACTAGAGTGGGTTGCCATTTCCTTCTCCAGGGGATCTTCCCGACCCTGGGGCTGAACCCACATCTTCTGCATTGCAGTCAGATTGTTTACCGTCTGAACCACCAGTGAAGTTCACACTTTTTTTTTTTTTTAGAGCACAAGTAATGGAAGCTAAGTACAATACAGCCTCTTTAAGGTTCTGAGGGAATGTTATTTAATATTATATATATATATCTACATTTATATAAAAATAATTGGTATTTATTATTTTCAACTTTACACTTAGCCAAACTTTATAAGGTCTGAAAAAATACATGGTGGTTTCCAAAAATTTATCTCCAACTGAAGGTGTGCTCCAGTAAAGTGAAGGACTAAACCCAGGAAAGCAGAAGACCACATGGTCCAAAAAGCAGGAAAGTAGCTAAGGGCAGTCCCAGGTGATGAAAAGGGAAGTCTCTGGACAGCAGCTGGGAAGCAGACCTAGAAAGCAACCTGGCCAGACCAGAGCTGGGGACAGAGGGCACTGGGAAAGACAGGAGATCCTGAGATGATCTGATCCATCTGCACACCTGGGGAACAATGGTGGTGGGGGGCGGGCAGATCTCCCGGGGCATGTGAAAAAAATTACAAATAAGAGCTTAGAAAACAAAGTATACAAAAGAGGAGGCAACCATTCATTTTAGGAAAAAGAAAGTGTATGAGACAATGAAATCCTACTACAAGGCTCTGCAGTGAACATCATTTACATGCTCACAGTAAACAGAAATATTGGTTGTTTTTTTAATGCCACACTGATGTAATATATGGAGGGTGGGACATAGGAAGGGGAGGTGACACAGCTAAATATGAACTATTATGGCAGATTTCAATACATGATGATTAACTTGAGAGAAAATGAAAGGTATTCCCATTAAAAAAAGAAGAAGAATGAAAGAAATATTGAAGGTAGATATCAGAAGACGGAGCGGCTGAGAGCTGAAGGTGGGAAAGGCTGAGGAAGAAGGGCAGAGGGCTGGATGATTTCCATTAGGAGCAGTTCAGGATCCGTGCCTCTGCTCTGATTTTATAAATACTAGTATTGTAAGAAGTTATTAGGTATATACAACAGTTCCCTGCACGCCAGTGGGTGTGACATCAAAGCTGGGAACTGGCCTAGAGACAGTGGCAACAGGGACTCTGCATCATCAAGGGGTGCCTTCCTCAGGCCCTGCCCACCAGGGGTCAGTGGGATGCTCCGTCCCTCCCGCCTGGTCTGTGGAGGGGAGCGAACTGGGGGCCAGAGCTTCCCCTCCCTGTACCAACCACCTGGGACTCCAGGCTCCCTGCATATTCCGAGATCTTTCCTGAATTCTCAGGGGAATTTTTGGAAACAGGCATGGTACAGACAGAAACCTAAGTAGGGAAGTAGATGATTTCTGTCTCACCCATTCACAGTTCCTCACACCCTGCTGAGCCCAGAGTTAGATCCTTGATGCCTGGCACACAGTAGGTGCTCAATAAGGAACTGCTGAAGGCATAATTATGGTGCCGAGTTTCTGTGCATGGTACTTCCTCAGACCTTGAACATGCACCACCACATCAGACGGTAGGACTATCTCCACATTACAGGTAAGGAAACTGAGGCTCAGAGAAACCTGCCCAGGTCACTTCCCCAGTAAGTAAAGAGCTGGGATTCAACCCCGGGAGCGGCTGACCCCACCGCCTGTGCAACTAGCAGCCGCTGACATAAATTCTTTCTGGAAAAAGGCTGGTTATGTAGTTGCATAGAAGGAAGAAAAGCAAGAATGAAAATAAGAGGTGGGCTCACAACTGAGCCAAGAAGAGAACTTAAAACTCCCCCTGGCGAATACTGGAGACTCGGGGTTGCCACCCCCCCGCCCACCCGAGAGCTGGCCTGGCAGTACCCACCTTCTTCAGAGAGGCTGTTCTCTTTGGTCTCCGTGTCCATCTGGCAGCACCAGCCCTCCAGCCGCTCAGTTTCTGCCTGGAGCAGCTTCAAGAACCAGTAGCCGTCCCGGCGGCAGGCCCCGGGCTGTGCTGGCTCTGCCGGGGAGCTGGAGGAGGTCTCCAGCCAGGGGTCAGGCGGGGGCAGCGAGGACGCCTCCAAGGCAGGGTCGCTGTTGTCTCCATAGGAGAGGTTGCGCTTGATCTGGGCAATCTTGGGGGCCTGCCGGGGGCCGGCATCGATGCTGATGGAGTTGGGGTGCGGGGTGCAGTCTGGGAGGCTCTTCTCAGACGACTTACAGCTTGAGTCGTTGGCATCCTGGGTATCGGAGTCGGTGTCCCGTCTGGAGGACATGCTGTGAGAGGGGGCACTGCTTCTGTGGGGGGGTGGGCAGGGAACGGTGTGGAGGAGGGGTGGGGACAGGAAAGGGTGAGTCACCAAGAGGGTCGGAGACCAGAGGCCACCCCGACCCGGACACACGGGAGACAGAGAAACGGATGCATCGTCTGCTCACCATGCGCCTGAAGCGGGTCCCACAGCCCCGTCTCATTCTCAGCTCAGCCCCCGCCCTGCCCGCACACGCACACACGGACAAGGTCATAAGGTTGCCTGTTTACTGCAGCGGGGCCAGGAAGCCCACCAACATTGGGGGTGCTGGGCCGTGGTTCTGCCCGGCCTCAGCCCCCGTGGCGATTCCTCTCACGGAGCAAGTGCTCACCCTTGCTCATCAGCGCACCCGGCCGCCCGCCCGCCCGGCCTTCCACGCCTGGACCACTGCCCGCACCCCCAACCCAGCTTGGTTATTAGAAATCCAGCAAGGAGAAGTGGGTTAGGGAGAGCAGGAGGAGGCGGCGCGGGAGAGGTGAGAGTGGAGGGAGGGAGAGGAGAGGGGAGAGGCAGCCACCACCTCGGTGCCACTTACCGCCAGTCGTCCTCTACCTGAACCCCGATGGACTGGAATTTGGTAGCGGGACTGGGCTCCTCGTTTGGCACTGGCTGAATGCAGTCAACCTTATTGAAGGACAACGACAGCCACGGCACGGGGACAAAGACAAAAATAAAAAAACAAACACCACACTTGCTGCTGAAATTCACATTAGTGGGACGACGCAAATGGACGAGCGGACAGACGCACACGAGGCATGCGGACACTGCACGTGGGCCCGAGGCCGGACCAGGTGAAGCCGGGCACTGCTCATTCGCGCGGAGGCGGGCGGGCAGGCGGGCGGGAGGTGGGATGGGGTGGAGAGGACCGCCTTTCCCTACTCTGAGGAGGGTGCCATCACATCGATCGCTTTGGGTCCGTTGTCCTCCGAGAGGTGGGAACCGTTCCTTCTAGTCCTCTCCTTTACACGCATCAGAGAGAAGAAAAAAAAAAGGACAACGAAAGAGAAAGAAAACACACACACACAAAGCCACAGCCGTTATCTGGTGTAGTTGAAGCCGGGCTGTCTCGAGGCAGAGGTCACTCCCCCAACCCTGCAGCTGAAGGGCAGGCTGGGGCCGCCGCATGAGGGGCAAACCCTGGGCAGCAGTTCTGGATTTGAAAGCTGTCACCAAGGCCACAGCTGGCCCAGTCCCTGGGCCCTACGGGATGCCATCCCTGGGCCTTGATCACACTCAGCTGAGGTTACCGTCAGCACCAGGTGGGCCGGGGGAGCAGTAAGGACCAGAGCCACGTGCAAGGTTGGCGCTCTTTCTCTATACCAGTGATGCCCTGAGCCTACCTTTCATTTCTGGGACAGAGGTATGTGGCCACAGAGTGGCCAGGCCAGCCCCTCCATCACCACTCATGAATGAGGGAGAACCCACACTTGAGCCAGGGCGCGAGGCACCAAGGAATGGATGAGGGTTGTTGGGACTGTCACTGGAAATTGGAAGCTCTGGTCTCTTGGTTTCATAAAGGCCTTCTGGGACAGGGCTGAGCACCAGGCACTTCCCCACCATGGAGGATGTAACTACACGTCTCCTTCAGCTAGAGCCAGCTCAGGGGATGGGGCATCACCGGCTCCCAAGAACTGCTTGGAGAGCTTGGATGGGGGTGGGGTGATGCGACAGGGAGAAGCCTAGATGGGCCCGAGAGCCAGAGTTCACAGCCCCGTGTGAGCCTCTGAGTGTAGGAATCAGGGTGACTAACTCTCTCTTGGGTCTTCTGTAAAGATGAGAGCATCTGGTTTGGCCAAGGAGAGGGTGGGGCTGCCCAACCAAGACTAGGCTATTTTCTGTACCCCTCAGAATCCCTCCAGAGTGACATACAGGCCAGGGGCTGAACTTCTTATGAAGCAGAACAGAAAACATAGTCTCCCGGCCAACTTTCTTCTTGTATCCATGGCGAAACTGTAGCCCGGAGCTGCCTAAACTCTGCCTCCCCAAGAAGCAGGTGCAATCAATCGGCCAGTGAGCTGCCTCTGGTCCATTCAGCCCTCCGGAGAGTCCCATGTTCCTTCTATAATTCTGGTGCTTTGTCGTGCACTTGGCCAGGGATGGCCAGGGAAACAGAGATCCTGTCTGATCTAAGCCACCACACACGCCACCTGGAAGTCCTTGATCGCCATTTGGGTTAGGAGGGGCTCTGCCTTCCTCAAGCTCTCAGCCCACTGTAGCTGCCCTCCCCACTCCCCACTCCCCACCCCTGCCCAGAGTGTGCTTTACTTAATTAAGGGTGTAGAACAGCTCTTGAAAGTTGCAAGGCGGGGCCGAGGTTTCCCCTGCTCAGCTTACAGCACAAGTATTGATATGAGATCATGCAGGAGGCACCGTGCGGCAGTGCGGGGGAAGCTAGCGCACCCGGCCCTGCTGTGTGCTGTGGTCAGGAGCGCACAGTGAGCCCAGCTTCCCGAAGCATCTCCTGGCTTTGGCCCTCTCAGTCCCAGGGAATTATCTGCCTGGATCCTTTCTTGCGGAGGGAGGCGTCAGGACCAATGTCCCACTTCTCAATCTGCTGTGGGCCTGGCACCTTGAGCAACCTACCTGTCCCCAAGGCCTGAGAAGGCTCTGGGCAAAGTCCCCCTGGAGCAACCCCCAAGGCTCCAGGGCCCTGGGTCCTGGTACCCCTGGCCCTTGGCGTCTACGCTCCACGCTGCTCCCACCACCAGGCAGGGCTGCAGCCTCCGCACCTGAGCTGACCTTGGATCAGGGAACTGTTGGGCCAGTCCTGTCTCCCACACGTCGGCTGGCAGGGCAAAGGGTGGAGTGAACAGACAGACAGAGGAGGACAGGCAAACAGTGGACAGGAGATGGCTGGCTGAGTGTAACTACATTCACCGGGACAACCCATCACTGGAGCAGGGACACGCGCCCACAGCTGCACGGCCCGCACCACGTTCGGGCGACCTCGAGGAAGGCATGGCTTATGGGTGGAATTTGGTTTGGCCACTTGGGGCCGACCCCCCAGAACAGACAAACCACCGTGACCCAGGAGACCTAGTGGGCCTCCACCAGATGTAATTACACGCAGGCAGGTGCGCGGTGCAGGCTGAGGACAGTGTGTGAAAGGGGCCCCTACTTGTATTCCTATAGATGACAGTTTCCTTTTGGGGACGGCCTCAGGGTGGGATTCAGAGCTGGTCAGCGTCCCTTGTTCGCTCTTCAGAGCTGCATGTTTTGGGGGTGGCTCGGGGGCCTCGGGGGCTGGGGTGATGCCGCCCCGTGTCACGCTGGGCGGGCGGGTACTGCTGTCTAGGCTGTCCGAAGAGTTGCTCAGGCCAGACTGGCTCGTCACTTCACTCTTGTGGTCCTGGCTGTCCAGGTAGGTGTCCTGGGCGGACTCGGTGCTGCTCTGGACTGTGACGGAGATGAACGGCTTTGACGTGGTGCGTGGAGGGACCGGTGGTGGGGTCTTCTTATATGCCACTAGGCATGATGAACCTGCAGATGGGTGAGAGGAGGGCAGGGCAGGGGTGAAGCCACCAGCCCTCTGGAACCCCTTTCAGGGCTGAGGCCCCACCTGACCCGACCCTAGCTCTGGCCTTGGTGAGGATTTCTGGAGGAGAATGGGGGTCAGACACAGCCATGACCAAGACAGACAGACCTGAGCCCTGCCCATCCTCATGCTGAGTCAAGGTCAAGTCTAGTGGGGGACCAACCACAGGGACCAACACACCCTCCCCCTCTTAGTCCCACACAAAGGGATTATCCAGCTGGGGTACCCACGTGGTCAGGACAGTTAAAGAATGGTTAACCTCACTTGTCCTCAAGCTCACTGGGACCTGCCACTCCCCTTCTCGTCCTTCCCTCCACCCTGCTCCTCTGCGCTGAAGCCCCCTCCCTGTCTGTTCAAAGACCAACACGTCCTTCAGGGCTCAGTTACCCTTCCCCACAGGGTGCCGGTCCACCCCACCACCTCCACCTCATTATGTGAGAACACACACCAGTCCGCCTCCCCCGGGACTCCACCACGCCCAGGCAGACTCCCTGTTTCCAGCAAGACTCAGGGAACTATGACCTGCCCTGGGTGGGAGGGAGGGTCTCAGAGTCCCGTTCTGATCCTGGCCCAGGGCTGGCTCCACTTTCGGTCTGAAACAGGAGATGTTGGTCAACTAGCAGAAGCTACTTCCTCTGAGGGGTGAGGTCACATCCAGTGGCTTTTCTTGGCATCTTAACTCCAACTGCCCATTCCCCAGTGAGGATGGAAACAGCCTCTACCCAAGTGAGGACCACAGGAGCCAGAGGAGGGGCTCTAAGCCTTGCCTTCAAGGGGCTGCCAATCAAGGTGATGGTGATGGCACAGAGCCACCGGGGCCGTGGAGAAGGCACAGGAGAACCCATTCATCTGCCCCACGAGATGTCACCACGCAAACACGAGAATGACCGAAATAAGAAACGGTGACAATACCAAATGCTGGTGAGGATGTGGAGAAATGGAATCGCTCGCACACGGCTGGTGGGAATGTAAGATGATACAGCCACCATGGAAAATGATCTGGCAGTTTCTTTTAAAATTAAACATGCAAATATCATACAATCCAATAACCACACTCTTGGGCATTTAGCCCATAGAAATGATAACATGTTCACAAAAAACTTATGTGTGCATGTTCATGGCAACTTTATATGATATAGGCCCAAACTGGAAACAACCCAGATGTCCTTCGATGGGTGAGTGACTGTGGTGCACCCAGACCACAGAAGACCACTCAGCAGCCAGAAGAAAGGAACCACTGATACAAGCAACCACTTGGATGAATGTCAGGTGAATTATGCTTCGTGAAAAAGCTATCTCAAAAGTTACAGATCATGTGATTCTATTTATAAAACATTACTGAAATGACCTAATTATAGAGATGGGAACAGATTAGCAGTTTGTGCGGAAACTAGGGGGAAGAGAGTGATGAGGAGGATGAAGCGACTTGGTTATAAAAGGGTGGCAGGAAAGACCCCAGTATGTGCGAATTGATGGGAGCTGTGTATCTTGACCGTGCTGGTGGATACAGGCACCTGCACTTGTGATGAAAGCACATTGGATAAAACACACCACAGGTGATACAAGTGAAGATGGCGAAATCTGAGTAAGATTGCTGGGCTGTATCTATGTCAGTATTCCGACCAGGACAGCAGACTACAGTTCTGCAAGATTTTATCACTGAAGGAAACTGGGTAAAGGGTACCAGGATCCCTCTGTATTATTTCCTGCAAGTGTATGTAAATGATCATTGCCTAAAAATAAAAAGCCGACTCATTGGAAAAGACCCTGATGCTGGGAAAGATTGAAGGCAGGAGGAGAAGGGGACGGCAGAGGATGAGATGGTTGGATGGTATCACCGACTCAATGGACATGAGTTTGAGCAAACTCCAGGAGATGGTGAAGGACAGGAAAGCCTGGTGTGCTGTAGTTCGTGGGGCTGCAAAGAGTCAGACACGACTGAGTGACCAAACAACAACAAAAATAAAAAACGTAATTTAGACAATCCGCCTGTCCGTTCACCTGACAGACACATGCACCAGGCCAGGCCTGCAGTGGGGACCAGGAGAGTCAGGGGCCCTCAGCAGAGCGAGAGCTGTGACACGAGTGCTTCAACAACAACAGAGGCCACCACAGAAGAGCCCCGGAGCCAGGAGCCATGTCTCGTGCCCGATCCAGTCCAGGGGACTCAGTGCTCTGGGAGCTCAGAGCTCAGAGAACTCAGTTCCTCCTCTGTTCAAAATTCCCCAGCCTGCCCGGGGAGCCCCTTGGACAGACATACCTGCTACATCACTGAGGTCAGACAGCCCAGGGCCAGCACGGCTCTGACTGCTTTCTCGTTCTGAGGGAGATAAGGCCTAGGGGTGAGCCAAAAGTTTACCACTCCCCAGCCCCTGGTGGGAGACTGGACTGGTTCTCTGACCAGGCCCGGGCCAGTCTCCCTCAAGAGCTGGACACGTAAAGCAGCCCGTTGAAGCCCACGGCCAGCAGAGCCTGGACTCACCGGGGATTTCATGATTCGTTTGTTTGGTTGGCCTGAATGTCCCAAGGAAGCATCAGTGGCGTTTTCTTCCCCAGGAGGAGGAAGTCTCAATCTGCTCAAAATGCTTAAGGGGGGACACTTCCCTAAGAACTTCTTCCTAAAGGGGGTGGCAGTGAGCATGAGGACTCAGAACTGGGCTCTAAGCTTAGCTGAGGCCCTGTGATTGCAGTCGGGGTCCTCGTCTCCCACTTGTGTTATAGGCTGACACTGGCCTGAAGGAGTCAATCTGTGCAGGGACCCACCCCACCCCGGAGACAATGGGACCATCCACAGTCCAGAGCCTGAACAGAGGGCTGACCCTCCAGTCTCTCTCTCAGGGTGTGTAGGCCAGAGTCCTGCTGAGGCAGCCACTCATCAGAGAGAGAGAGAGAGAGAGAGAGGGAGAGAGAAAGAGAATGTGAACTAGGGAAGGCCAGGTCAGATAGCCAGATGTGATAAAAGGACAAGTGAACTTATCTTGGATTCTCTATGTCTCCAGGGGCACAGGTGACAGACAAGTGGTGTGACTAATGGACTGGATTTCGAGGCCCTGGGGCCTCTGTGGGTGGGAGGCGTCACTCACCTGTGAGCACTGTACCCCCCCACCCAGGACAGGAGGGTGGGGCCTGACTTTATGGTACAGCTCTCTTTCACAGGCATGAAATGCCAAGAAATACAGGCCGACACCTCCGCAGCCCCTTCCAGCATCCAGATGCAGCCAGTCTGTGTTCTGAACTCCCGCACTTCCTCCCACCTTGGGGCTTTTACACATGCTGTCCCTTCTGCCTGGAAGGCTTCTCTCAGCTCCTCACGTTTCAAGGGTCACTTCCTCCCAGAGGCCTCCCCTGACTGCTCCCTAATCTCGCGTCTCTCAGCATCTCCATCAGAGCACTTGCCACATTTGTCATCCGCTCATCTCAGCAAATCTTGCCAGTGGTTACAGGCCTGGTGTGGATGGGGGACTCTGTCTGTCTTGGCACAGCAGGTCGTATCCCAGGCCCACAGTGATGTCTCAAGCACAGAAAGCTAAGTATTCGCTGAATAAGAAAAAGAACCTCACCACTACAAAAAAAACCCTCGGGTGCCGAAAATCAAGATTTAGCCATAGTGAAGGCTTCCGGCACTTTAGAACCCGAGGTTCTAGTCCTGTCCCAACTTTGGAGCCCTTTCTGTTTGGTCCCACCTTCCCATCCCGACAGCCTCACCTCCCGCCCTCCCACCCCCTCAGCATGCCCCTTCAAGCTTCAGAGAGCCCTCCCACCCTTTCCCAAACATGCCACACTCTTCATGCACTGAAGCCCTCTTGCACATGCATCATCTCAGGCAAAACCCCTCTGCATATCCTCTGTGTTTCCTGCCCTCCAGCCCATTCCTCCACCCCCAGCCCTTTCTGGCCCAGGCAGAGTCTGACCCTCTCCTCTGGGGCACTCAGGCCTGTGGCCAAGTCTCTGAGTGTGTGTCCCATGCGTGTCGGCAGCCAGTCCCCAGTCCAGAGAGGGTGCACAACCATCATTTGCCAATGAACTTTAGAGGAAGCAAATGCCCCGAGACCCAAGATGTTGGCGCCGGCCAGGATGTGACTGCGGCCCTTCCTGCCCTATGTGGAGACGTTCTGTGTGCCACACTTGACACCAGCGTGGCGAGTGGGGCCAACTCTGTGTCCATTCACCCTGGAAAGCTTTCAGACCTGCCCTGGGAAGCTTGGGGGTGAGCATCACTCCAGGATGACTGGCTCCTCCAGCTGGTTCTTGTGTGTATTTTTAAAGATCCTAAGAGAAACATCTGCTGAGCCCCAGCACTGTCTGCGCACTGCACTGCTGAGCTCTGGGGGCCGCGTGCCTCCCTGCCCTAACCTTGGCCTGGCTGGTCCCTCACGCCCAGGCTCAGACAGAAGTTGGCTGTGCGAGGCCGCCTGCCCCCAGCCCCAGACATCCAGCCCAGCCTCCCTACCCCACTGTGCACAAGCCCTTGCTTCTTCTGAGAAGGAGCCCCCTTTATCTCATTTCTGCCTTCTGCACCAAGATTTTACCAGCAAACTCTCAGCCTGGAATAAATTTGCTTCTGCACGTTGTTTGTCTTTTTTAATGTCAAGGTACAGAAGAAGGCCAATTAGAGTTCACATGCTCAGAGGAGTGGTTGTGGTTCCCCAGCAACCTCAGGAGGCTAACCCCCCTGCAAGTGCTTTGGAGGCCCAGCCTGGCCCTCAGGTCTGCTGGTGCCCAGGAGCCGAGCAGGAAGCAGCCTCAACAGTGTGGGAGCCATGGCCGCAGGCTCTGCAGAAGAGCCTGTGGACCCACCCGAGACCCTGTGCAAACAGATCTGACCTCAAAGCCAGACCCCTAAACTCCCTTGCTGGCTCTGCCAGGCTCCGGGGAGGGCTTGTTGGAGGAAGGGCTGTCTGAGAACCTGTAAGATCTCTGTCTCATGCAAAGGGTCAACACGCAG